ACCCGAGTTAAGAGAGATCAGACGAGAAGACTTGAGGAGAAGAGCGAACCAGCCACGTACAGAGCCAAACTGATCTGTTGAAAGAGGCAGAGTTGCAGGAAGACCCTCGGGTTCGGACACCGAGCAAGCAGCACCTGAAACCAAGGCTGGGCTGACCACCAAGGAGCCAGAAGGATAACTCCCCCCTGGTAAGTCTCCAAGCGAGCCAGGACCTGGAGCAACAGCTGAACCAGGAAAAAGAGGTATAGATAACCCCACCTCGCCCAATCCTGCCTGAAAGCATTGATCCCAACAGCCTTGCAGTCAGGGAAGGGTGCCACATATATGGGAAGACACTTCAACCATGCCGACGTGAAGAGGTCCACTTCTAGAGGCCCGAATGGCCGGCAGAGCCGACTAACGAGTCAACATCGACCGTCCATTCCGTAGACAGGGAAATGAACCGGAACAGGCCGTCCACCAGGACATTGGACACCCCCCCGAACATGAACCGCCAAGAGACCCAAACCCCCGAGAACTCAGCAGACGAGTCACCCAAAGCGACCAGCCCCAAAGAGCCAAGGACCACATCAAACCCCCACAGTTCAGGCAATGAACCACCAGGGAGCAGTCCAAATGGAACCTGATGGTCGATCCGCAAGCGACCCAAACCCTCCTGAGCGACACCCACACAGCTGCGAACTCCCGCATCGTGCTGTGCGCCCAACGGAAGGATGAACCGCACCATCCCTGGCCGGCCTGGTGAGCACACGTCACGAAGCCCCAGCCAAGAGACAATGCGTCCGTGAACACATCGAGTGAGGACTCGGGTAGGCGCCACGGCAATGAACCCCGAAAAACCCGAAGAGGAAGATGGCGATGCAGCAACCGACGCAAAGTCTCCAGAGGCCGAACTCAGCAGTCGCAAGAGAGGCAGAAGAGTCCCGGAAGGAACCAGAACTGCCAACAAAGTCAAACCCGATTCAACGGGTATACTATCATCGCAAATTTCAGGCTCCCACACAAACACTCGAGCAACCGCCGAATGACCCAGGAGCCCCTGAAAAACAGGCGAAAGCGGGAATGCAGCCAAAGCAGAGCCACTGGAAGAAGAGACAAGGAAGCGGTCTGAGCGTCCCATACAAGACCCAGCCAAGACTGAACCTGAGAGGGAACCAGATGCCATTTCCGGCAGTTCACCAGGAACCCGAACCCAGTGAGCTGGGAAAGAACCAAATCCCTGGGGAGCAGACACACGGACCGGCTGGGAACCCACACCAGCCAGTCATCGAGGTAGGCAGGACCTGAACACCTAAAAGATGCAGACAGGCCACTATGACCCAGGGAAGGCATGTGAAAACGTGAGGCGCCAGATTCAAGCCGAAAAGAAGGCAATGAAAGCGGTAACTCCAACACCACCAAAAAACCAAGCCAGTTCCTGAACCCTGGATGAACTGGAACATGCCAATACGTGTCCTTGAGGTCCAGGGATGCCATCCAAGCGCCCGGCTCCAACAGACGATGGACCTAGGACAGAGTAGTCATCCGAAAGGAGGGGCAAAAAAAAACATGGGTTCAGACGGGACAAGTCCAGAATGAACCTGAGGTCCGCGCAATGCTGTTTCGGAACCGGAAACTGGCAGGAACCCACCTGTGGGACAAGGCCGTTTCGACCACACCCAAGCAAACCCACTCTGAGATGACTTGACAGAGCACAGGAGATGAGGCCCACCCCCGCCAACCCCGAATCCCCCGAAAGAAGAGGGGCCACTCAACACCACTGCAGGCCGCACGAAACAACCCGAAAGGCCCACAAATCGTGAGTCCAGGCATGAGCAAACAGGGGCGAGCCTCCCCTTCACCACCCCATCAATGGAACGAACCACAAAAGGGCCGATGCCTCATACGAGAATCAAGGCGGCGCACAGATCGATCATCACGCCCACTAGAAACAGAAGGTTCCAAAGACCGCACCAGCACCAAATCTGGCATCACAGGCCTACCACAACAGGAGGAACCCCGAGCCCTGGCATGACCCCACCAGGAAGGCCGCCACGAGCCTCCTGGAGAACCAACAAGTCCGACATAGTATGGCAACTGGATGAAGCTGCCTGCAGATACTGCACAACCGCAGACTCTGCAAACAGCAACAAACAAAAGAGCGAAGACAACCAAAGAGCCAGGGCCCAAGCGGATTCCAAAAAAGAAGCGAGCTCTGCCTGCCGACACACGCGACAAAGTAAAATCAGTAAAACCCCATTCCTCAATATTGGCACGAACAGCTTCAACAACGCAGACGATGCATGCACTGCCAAGGATAACACACCAGGCCCAGAGGCGGCCCCAAGCACCTCCTCAAGCCAGTCCGTAGACAGCTCGAGCAGGCAAAAGAAACGCAAGGCCGAAACCAACAGGCCACACGCGCGCAAGTCCTCTGCAACCAATGCAGTCGAAATGGAAAGAACCTGCCCATGAAGCTGCACCACACCAACATCCAGCGGAAGGGCAGGGGCAAACAAACATGCAGTGAGATGCTCAAATCGCCCCCAGGAAACCAGCAACACCACATGAGCTACTCAAGTATGCGGGAGCGACAGAATGCATGCCAAGCCTTCAGTGAGAATATAGGGCTGTCTGCCAACCAGGAAGACCCTGGAATCTCATGATGAGGTAAGGGAACCTCACCCCAAGGACCTGGGGCTCAGCCATCCTCCAACCCCCCCTCCCACCCGGCTCTAAAGAAAATGCAGGAGCCGCCAAAAAAGCAGGAACAAAGGGGGCCCAGGCTCGAATGCCTCTGCCATCACCCTGAAAGGAAACTCCCCCCGAAACTGCCCGAGTCTCAACACCAACTAAACCTTGCACCGACTCCGAAACCCTCATACGCTTCGAAGCTAGAAGCACAAAGGGAAAGGTCCTGTTGTGCATCCTGGGGAGAACAACAACACACAACAGAAGGGAAAGGACAAGGGGGGATGCGGACAGAACCAAAGCCGATGCAACTAACAGCCCCGAGTCCAGGTCCTTATAGCGGGGCAGTTGCGGGGCATCCGAGGAAGCACCTATCGCATGAGCTGCATGAACCGAGCATGCAACACTGAAGCTGCCTGCACCCGCATATGATTAGCAGTAGATTGGGTGAACTGGAGCACGTACAAACAATAAAACTCGCACAACTCCTAGTCGAAGCATCACTAATCCTACATGCAGCATGGCGGAGGCACAACCAGAGATCGTCACCCAGAGACAAGGGGACAGAGCAACCTTCAACCTCACGCGAAGCGAGAGGGGACGCAGGGGTCGCATCCATTGGACCAAAGAGCCCCCCGCAGGGTTTCCCAGGGCCCTTTAGTCGCTTATCTCGCTAAGGGAGGCAGGGTACTGCTAACTGCTGCCCAAAACTACCAAGCAATCTGCTAAAGCTGAACCCCCGGGGCCTAGTACAGTACACTCGCAGGGGCCTAGTGGAGGACCACCAAGTAACAATAGGGTATGACTAACCAAGTGGCAGACCCTCCACCAGGCAACTAGACAAAAAGAAAAGGAAAACCCCCGCAAGAGGACAATGTACCTCAGGCGGAACTGGGATACGGAGGTGATAACTAGCTGAACAGTACCCTGCACCCCTACCAGTGACGAAAACTACCCCTACCCAGAGACAACAGGGGAACACAGAAACCCCAGTTGACTCCAAGGGCGGTCAATCACAGAGCAGCAAAAGACACAATTGAGGTAGATCCCAAGGTGACTTGTGGAAGGTGGCCCTAAGCTCCAAGGGCAGTACTGTACTTACAGGGCACCTAGGGGAAGAAAACCCAGGTGCATGCAGCCCGAGTATTGAAGAAATCACTCCTGGCTCGCACACCGACTGTAGATTCAGCACCACACCACAAGGCACAGAACTTAAACAATTGCTGGAGCCAGAGGCACATGACCTTGCCAGCATCACATCAGCCTAGAACTGAAAGGTGGGTAACCGACATAAAGGTCTGGGGCTCCCAGTTTCCCCTCCCGAGGAGGGAGGGGGGTGCACAGACAGCGGCGCAGCAACGTGGTGACATCATGATAGTTTGCTTGTTTTTATTTGGAGAGTTCTGTCCACTCGTTCGGTTCTTTGTAGCAATGTTTTCACCAGAATAGGGGTTTGTTTTGGTGCGCCTACCTTTCTGGGTGCCTGACCCGGTCGAAGGCAGACATATAATGCTTTCAACCACACGGGGGTTTCTATAGGACATTACTCCTCATGCCTCTCTGAAGGAGTCAGGTTCTGGCTCAGGGTCCCCAGTATGCCTAGAACTCCATGCACATTGACTGATGCCAGAAATCTAATACACTGTATATATATCCATATCAGCTTGGATAGCTCCGGGGAGTCGATGGGGCTTCCTCCAGAAAATTTCCTCTTATTCTAGGATGCATTTCAAGTGGTGTAGATTAAAACAAAAACTTGCTAAGAGAAGATGCTGCAAATGCTAAACACTGTTGAATTTCAAAATCTGGCTGGATAATATTATCAGGACAAATGGGAGGATCTCTGACAAGCCACTAGCTTCCTATCCCTGTCAAGACCACTAGACAAAGACAGTGCCACTTTCTGGTAAGGTTAGGTAAATCAATTTAAAGGATAAAAATCTATAACTTATGATTCATTAATATTTAGCATAAGAATCACTAACTGGTGCAGAAGATATCACAACCATGGATGGTATTCTCAACTTTGTTTTTTAATTAAATTCCACAAAAAGAAGCTGTACCAATAAACTTATTGTATTTTCTAAAATGTTTATTTGTAATTAACTTACTTTCTGACAAAGCCCTTATATAAAATAATAATTACTGACCTTGATATATTATCACATTTACCATATATATAATGTACTGTATTTATAAGCACACAAATGAGACTAAATTGCAAATACAGTAAAATATATGTACTGTAATATAAAATGCCAAGCATAAATATTCAAACTCAGATACTTTGTTACTGATAAAATGTACTGAAGGTAAGGAATAAGGCTTACCTATTAACTCAGAATCATAACCCTCTTCTCCTTCCATCTTGATTGATAATGGGTCTCTATCATCACTATGATCACCATTAATCCGTAATTTAGATCGTGCTCCAAAGCGGGCACTACTGACAGTAGACACACTTGCATGGCACTGCATGGGCATATCACATTGAGTCTGTACACTGCCATCAGCAAAAAACGTGCAAAAAAATAAATTCATGCTCGGCCCATGGCCATCACATGGATCTGTCTGCGTTGCTATTGTATTTTCTGCCTCTGATGATATGGTGGGCCAAGATATTATTATAGTATTGTTCATGGTATCGACACCACGGGAAAGAACCTCCTTACCACCGGACAAGACTATGTTTGGGCTAACGTGCGTGATGGCATCAGCAACCTGTGACTTTCTGCTGGGAGTGAAAGGTGCTCTTGAAGTCATACGACTGAATTCTTGACTGGTGAGCAGTCTGTTTTCCCCTGTTGACAGTACAATAGAAGGGTTGATGGTAGTCAGTGATCTTAAACTCAAACTCGTTGACTCGTGACTACTCTGGGTTGTAATGACCCTCTTCATAGCCATGGATGATAAGGACTGAGTGCATCCTCCTGATAGCATATATTTCTCTTTTCTCTTGTTAAATACCACAGATGGAGAGTTAGTTACAATTGGTACTTTGAGTGGTTCATTATCAGTCATAAGCTCAATGCTGCTACTACCATCAACATGAATCACTTCTGAATGTTTACCGGCATCTATGTGCATTACTTCGAGAGTTTTCCCTCCATCCATCTGGACAACTTCTACCGTTTTGCCATCCTCCATATGCAACACTTCCACTGTTCTTCCATCCTCTATGTGCATCACCTCTACTGTCTCCTTATTATCCACATTCACCATTTCTAATGTTTTGCTGCCATCCATCTGCATCACCTGAACTGCCTTCTCTGAGCTAACCCCAATAGCATCCTCCTGCTCTGTCAACAGACTTTGTACTGTTGAGTCACCTGGCATGACTCCAACTGTTCTTTCCTCCACTAGTACAAAACACTGCTGGTGTTTGCCCAGTGATCCATCATATACATCTTCACTCATAACAATGGGGATATCTGTGCTCTGTGGTTGAATGCTTGGCATCCTAGACACAGGCAGTTTGGCTTGAGAAGACATTCTGGGTGTGTCTGCATCTAGCTGAAGCCCTGACATTTTTAACCACTACATTTAAGAGCCAGAACAATAAGCCGTCTTCATGTATCACATATTATGCACAGTTTTGGCAGCTACTTTAGGCTTCTCTTGCAGTTTTGATCTGAAGAAAACAAAATGAATACTAGCATTATACATCAACCTAAAAAATAATTATACTTAAAAATTAAGCATTAAATGTAATGAAAGGCATCTTTCTGGGTGAGGAGCAAGTATGGATCAGAGATTGACACTGTTGAATTGAACTGCTCATAAAAATATGAGAGGTTCAAAACATCCTGAAACTTTCTCCACCAAATTTCTGGGAACCTAAAAAATACCCAATGCAACCCTGCAAACAGTTGCTCACTGATCAATCCAGATGATCACTGATCACTCTTGCAAATACTCCACCCTACCACCTGGCTGTAGGTGGTAGGGTGTAACAAACAAACCTGTAAGGCCAGGAGGAGAATGCTCCCAGGGCGGAACAAGAGCACCACATAGAACGAACCAGTGATAAAGAGCACTGTGCCAAACAAGACTAGGATACAGGATGCTGTAACAGGAGCATGCTTGAAGAGCACATTATGAACAACCTCCTAGCAATGAACACATTATGAATAACCTCCTAGCAATGAACACATTATGAATAACCTCCTAGCAATGAACACATTATGAACAACCTCCTAGCAATAAGCACACTATGAACAACCTCCTAGCAATGATCCCATCATGAACAACCTCCTAGCAATGGGAGTGGCCAAAGCCAGCCCAAAACCAGTTCCAGACAAGAACCAGAACACAGATGACCACCACAAGGAACTCCCGACCCATGAGAGGCCATTTTGCACAATCAGAGAGCCGCAAGACTTAAGGAAAACTGTGTCTCAGTAAAGGCAACAACTCTCACATGAAGAGAAAACAAGACGTGGACCAAACAATACTCGTGCACATGCCCAGCCAATGCTACAGCACAGGGTCACCATACAGCAAGATTTGGCAAGACCCACCAATCGCCATCCGGCAAGGCCCACCAATAACTAGCCATCAGGTAGACGTGCAGAAGCATGCAGAACAAAGATGAACCCAAACCCACGATTGATGCATGAAACTCTTAAACACTCTAAACGAAGCTTACCAAACTCTTGGGATAATCAAGCATACTTTTGACCTTAACCCTTAAACCGCTAAGGGCTTTCTGTCCTGCAACACTGCCAGGTGGAAAAAAAAAAAAAATCCCAAAAATTCTTTCATCTTATAGAAGTGTTCATTTGTGTTTCCTAATCACGTGAAAAAAAGGTGGCATATTTTGGCAGCAATAGGGCAGGAAGTTTGGCAAAAAACAGGCGTTGACAGAGCAGGAGCCAGACGAGGTCTGCTCCCCCCCCCCCCCCCCAGTTGTCAGGCGGGAATTGCCACAAAGATATTATTACTTAATTATTTCAATGTCTCTGATTTTTTCTTAGTTTTTTGCAGTAATATTATTCAATGGTGTGTAGTGTGATATATTTATATAATAAAATGTTTGAACCATCGCTGTACTCAAAATTATGGTGTGCATATTAGTGATTCAATTATTATGTTCATAAAACAACAAACAAATAGTTTTGCTGTTATTACACTATATACACAGGTTATATATAAGTATCTGCATGTTTTGTTCACCATAACGAACCAGTAAGTTGGTATTGTGAGTCAAAAAGCAATGAAGAGTGGCCGCTACACACTAGCCCGTCAGCCACTCGCCACCACTCCCTCACCTCCTCACTCGCCAACATTCTCCTCCCACCATACTGTTTTTGCTATTATTCACTTTCTAGAGACGTTATATATAAGTATCTACATGTTTTGTTCACCATAACTGTACAACTAAGCTGGTATGGTGAGTTCAGGCAAAAAGAAATGTAGCTACACACACAGTCAGCTGGTGGCTGCCGCCCTCACTGGTTCAAGGCTAGATGCACTAATATTTCTCCTCCAACAATACTGCTTGTGGTGTTATTACACTATACTGTATACACACATTATATATATAGGCATTACATTTTTATTCACCATAACTCTACAAATAAGCTGGTATGGTGCCCAAAAACCATAGTGGCCACCAGTACACAACATGAGATGTCATGCAGACGACGCCACTTTCCTTGCCAAAATGGCTGCTCCCAACATACTCCTTTTGCTGTTATTACACTATATACACACATTATATATAAGTATCCAGATTTATGTTCACCATAAAGAACAACTAAGCTGGTACAGTGAGTCCAGACAGTAAAAGGTGGTCACACAGAGTCAGCAGACAATGCTACCTCCCTCCCCACCAAGATTACTTCTCCCACCACAGCACTAATTATCACCACAATCCTGCTATTATCAGAATCCTGGTCATTTTTTATCACAGTCAGGGGTCCTCTGTAATACTATCATTGCTAAATAATAGCATAATAATAGCAATATTTTGATATTTTTAGGTGATGCTGTGGTCACAAGCTGAACAGCAGTGCTGTGAGCTCATGCTGCGTGTGCCAGCCTTGGTGGCTCACTCAGAACTGAGGCTCTCACACCTGTTACCCACGATTTTTTTTCTAGGTGGCGTCTGTTTACTATCAGTCGTGACTAGACTATAGCTGCCCCTATCCTTTGCGGGGCATTTAAAATCATGCACTAGACCCTCAATCGTACAATGGGGCCTCGACTTCCGATGCTAATCCGTTCCCAGAGACGGATCGTAAGTCGAAATATCGTAAGTCGAAGCAATTTTTCCCATAAGAAATAAAGGGAACTGAATTAATCCGTTCCCCACCCTCCAAAATATTAACATACAAATACATTTTATACTGAATACAATGTTTTTTTCTAACTACAATACAGTATCAAAGTGTCTCTTACCTTTATGGAGGGCTCTTGATGGCATATGGAAGATGGTGATGAGGGGGGAGGAAGAGAGTTGTTCCTGTTTGGAAGGGGAGTCCCCTTCCATTATCAAATCAGGCAGTGATGTTTTCTCTGGGGTACTCTCTCTCCTACGTTTTGCCTGAATACCACTAGGACCTGGTTGTGGTTCAGTGCTTGTTTGTCTCACTACAAATTTGTCAAGAGGCATTTGTTTTTCCCTTCATTATAACATTTGTCTGTAATGATGCATCACAGTGTCATTGAATAGGTTAAGGCAACGGCCTACTGCAGCTTGATTTGGGCGAGTTGTTTCAGCAAAGGTTTGCAATTCTTCCCATGCTGCACACATTTTCTTAATTGTTGAGGAAGAGACATTCTGTACTCTTGTTTCTGCTCTATGGTCATCCTTATATGGGTTTTCATATGTTGAACCTTACCACTGACTTTCCTGTGACTCATGGCGTGATATATAATAATTAATTTAATGTTCAAAATGCAAAAAATCACCACAAAAGCAGAATTTCTTATAGGCGCAATCGTCACTAAGCGGGCAGCTGTAGTAAACTGAGGCAGGTCAGTCGCATGACTGGGAACCACGCGCTCGGTCGACCCGAACGTGTACCAACAAATATCGAAAGTCGACGACACCATTGGATGTCGAGTCACATTTTTCGATGAAATTTACATCGTAACTCGAAATTATCGTAAGTAGGGGCAATCTTATGTCGAGGTACCACTGTATATGTATATATTGCGCGGTTTAAGGGTTGCGGAAGAGAAGGTAATGGTTCAACTATATAAATCTCTGGTAAATCATTTGGACTACTATATCCAAGCATATATACCTCATTTTTAGAAGGCCATAGCTGCTCTGGAGAAGGTGCAACACAGGGGCAACAAAAGTCATTCCAGAGCTACGTCATCTTTAGTATCAGGAACACTTGAAGGTCACAGGGCTGACAACACTGCAAACCAGGCATGACAGCGGATCTCACTAAAACTTTCAAAATACTGTACTGAACAAGTTGGAGGATGTTGATTTGGATATTTTCTTCAGAAAGTCAGATGTAACACAAACAAGGAGCAATAGTTTCAAGCTCATCAAGCCACAATGTAGGACTGAGAACAGGAGATTCATTTTCAGCCAAGGGGTTATCCCATAAATTGCCTACCCGCCAAAGCTGTACCTGTCAAAACTGTGTTGAGTTTTAAAATATACCTGGAAAAGATCATCAAGGCAAATGGAGGGGACCTTCGACAAGCTGCCGGTTTCCTGTCCTCATTGAGGCCACTAGAGTTAGTGGCCCTTAGATAAATAAGGTAAAACATAGCCCCACCCTGGAGACTTTAACCCTCAAACCGCTAGGGGCCCAAATGGAATTCACACCCACAGGCGCAACAAAAAAAAAAATCCAAAAAATTCTTTCGTCTTATAGAAGTGTTCATTTTTGTTCCCTGATCACGGAAAAAATAATACAAAAAATCGTAGGTGGCATATTTTAGCCGCAATATGGTAGGGAAGTGTGGCAAAAAAGGGGCGTTGGCAGAGCCTTCACCAGACAAGGTCTACTCCGCCCGAGCTGTCAGACAGCAGTTGCCACAAATATATTATTACCTAATTATTTCAATGTCTCTGATTGATTTTTTCTTAGTTTTTTTGCAGTAATATTATTCCATACAGTGAATTGTGATATATTTATATAATAAAATGTGAAAACCATCGCTGTACTCAAAATTATGGTGTGCATATTAGTGATTCAATTATTATGTTCATAAAACAATAAATAAATAGTTTTGCTGTTGTTACACTATATACACAGATTATATATAAGTATCTGCATGTTTTGTTCACCATAATGAACTACTAAGTTGGTCTTGTGAGTCAAAAAGCAACGAGTAGTGACCGCCACACACCAGCGAGCCACTCACTGCCACTCCCTCCCTCAACACCACCTCACTTTCCCTCATTCTCCTCCCACAATACTGTTTTTGCATTTATTCACTATACACAGACGTTATATATACGTATTTACATGTTTTGTTCACCATAACTGTACATCTAAGCTTGTATGGTGAGTAAAGGCACAAAGACGTAGCTACTCTCACAGACAGCTGATCGGCGGCCGCCCTCAAGGCCAGACGCACTAATATTTCTCCTCCAATAATATTGTTTGTGGTGTTATTACGCTATATACACACATTATATATAAGTATCTACCTGTT